AATTAGTTTATCCGAAGGAAGGTCCAGGTGTTGCTGGTCTGTGGTCAGTAGACCAGCATCGCAGGGAGGTCTCTGGTGGTGGGTGATGCTTTCATCTAACATCCAAAATCCAGCTGAGCAGCAGGTTGGTTATTCTCAGGGGTGCTGCTATGAACCCCAAAGTGCTGTACCCAGTGTGGGGTGGAGGCACTGCCACAGCAGATAAGCTCCTTTAGTTGGGTTGCTGTCTTGGTTTAACAGGTTTATTTTACTCTCCCGACGGCTTTGGGAAGGAAAGTTGGCTCTATCCCTCCTGTGATGCTCCCTCCTGGCTGGGAAGGTCCCAGCTGCGCAGCTGGGTTTGTAAAAGGGATGGATTTGGGTGGGAAGGAGCAGCCTTGCCTGAGCCTTGGGGATCTCAAGCATTAGTGCTCCTTCCTGGATCATGTGAAATCCCACCAAAGGGTGGGATGAGAAATCCCCAGCACAGTATCAGATCATCTAATAGTCCAATCAGTGTGAGGTTCATTGTTGGACTAGATGATCTTCAAGGTCTTTTCCAACCTAGATGATTCTGTGGATATTCCCACTGCAAACTCTGCTGTGTTGCTGGTTTTACCCCTCGTCGTGCTGCTCAGCATCCCTCCTCCTGCTGCCTACAGCATCCTCCTGACTGGGGGGCTGGACCCCAGCCCCAAAGCCTGGCTAAGGCCTGAGCTGCCTGTGCCTGTCCGTGCAGGCAGAGCTGCCTGTACCCATCTCCGAGGGCAGAGCCACCAGCTGCAGTGGGGCACCCCGGGGATGTCGGTGCCACTGGCGCCTCTGCACAGAAACACAGACCGGATTATGGAAGATGCCCTGATAAGGGTGCTAAACCCCTTCCTCTGCCCGCCCGTGCGGGAGCACTCAGCAGCCCCGGCGCTCCCCTGGCTCAGGGAAAGCAGTGACAGGAATTGGGTGGGTTTGTGCATTAATTATAGTCGGGTCGCTTCAGAGCCTCTCTGTGTCAGCGCCGTTGTGGTAGGAAACCTGCTTCCTTCAGCGGCAGCACAGCTGGGGTCAGATCCTGCGGCCGGATCAGTCCCTACAGCATCCCCAGCATGACGACCGAGAGGGCTGTCCCAGCCCAGCACCTCCTCGTGGCTCAAACTGGGGAGGGGTTCACCAGTGGTTTGGGTTTTATGCCAAGTGGTGGCGAATGCCAGCGTGGCTCCAGCCCCGGGCTTGTGCAAGGGCAGGATTTGCGCTCAGGCTTGACGCCCAGGTTTGCTGATTCTTTTAATCAAAATTTTTCTTGGCTTATTTGCCAATAAGGAAACGTGGTGTCGAGTCAGCGGTTGTGATGGGACCAGGGCACTTACAGCTCCCCCAGCCTGGGGACAGGCAGGGTGTCCCCATGCACCCACCAGCACCCGCAGGGACACGGAGGAGCTGTGTTTTCTCTCTTGCCCACTCTCATCTGAGCCGGGTTCCAGAGGAGAAGCTGGGACCTGAAGCAGGATGAAGTGCAGGAGCATTTAACCTGTTGCAGCATCCACCCGGGATGGTGTGGGGAGCACGGGGCATCCGAGAGTCACGAGCCTGAGGCGTCATCTCCTGAAGGGAGATGCTGATGGGACACTCCAGGCTTCGGTCACCTTAACCCCCCCCCCCCAGAGTCGTA